TTCCTCCTCCTGATAATGGAGGGGCTTGTTTGGAAGAACAGGAACACCCAGACCACCTCGACCTATGCCCCAGGAAATTTGGTAGTTCTTGTGTACCTCTCAAGAGGAGGGGACCTTCAGGCATAAGCACAACTTTCACATCCAGAAATATGTTATTCTGCTTCTCTAGCATCAGTCTTGCATTTCAAATATGCCTTTTAAGGAGAAATGAGGGTTGAAAGGAGGTAATTTTTTGTGTTCTTGGCCACCCACAATGAAGTTGCTTGCCCGCTCACTTAGAATGGTTACCAGCTGCAACTTCCCTGCCCGTGTCTTGATGCTGGTTGCTTGCAAGGAGTCAAGGGATGGGTCAGAGAGCCGAAACCCCGGCCACCAGTCCCTCGCTCTTGCCACCAGAGCACGCTCGGCTCCAGCTGCTCAGCAGGGGATGTGCCAGGCTGTGCGTTCCCCCTCTGCTCTCTCTCTCCACCCCTTTACACCAGGGAAGATTAACAGCCCAAATCTGCACGCCGCTACAACACAGAGCACGTTTTAATGATTTTAATTAGGGTTGCTGCAGCCAGAACCCGACCTGGCTGCTGTTGAGCCGGGAGGAGCGAGGGGTGGGTGTGCCTGTGCAAGGGAGGCTCCAGGCCAGTCCTTGCATACCTGCTTTTGATCTTGGGCATCTGCCATCGGAGGGTGTCTTTGAAGGCAATTGCCCTTTCAGCCACTGCCTGGATGTTTTATCATTTGCAAACTAAGTTTTGCCCAGAACTTTCTTGAAAGAGAAATAATCCAAATGTTGCCAGCCTGGAAACTCCTGTCTGCTACAGGTGTCAGCTGAAATTCCAGTTCTCTGTTGGCGGTTAGGGCTTTCCAGACTATTTTCTAGCAACTGCGGCAACAAATTAAATAGCATCTATCATTTAGTGTCTCAGAAGACTCCACGCCACCAGACAGAAAACAGACCATGGGAGGATGTGGAGCTGCCTCTTCGTTGTGCGTGGTACACGGATCCATCCCTCTGCCTGAAATTTCTGGAAATGGCAGGCAAAAAAACCCCAAAGCAACCATGCAGCAGCGCTGCAGAGCCAATCACCTGGGGCTGGGGACATCTTTTGCATGGCTGTCCCCAACCCTTGTCCCTCTCCATGAGGTCCCCAGTACAGGCACCCCCAGTCCTCCTCTCCACACGTGCCACCTCGTTCCCATGGTATTTTACTCATTTGTGCTGAGATCTACTAAAGAATATGGGAAATATTTTGTTGTTGTTCTTAAATGTGGAAGAGTAAAGTGAATTTTGGCTTGTGATTATGGATAGTTTGGGTAAGAGTTAGCAGGAATTTCCAATCCAATCAGGTGTGATGAGAAGGGAGGCTTCTGAAAGCTGTTCAGCAGCATACCAGAGAGTAGCAAGATGTTATTTATAGCGTCTGTTTTTAACACAACTTGAAATTCATAAACAATAATACTGACAGCTCGGCTGCGCTTCTTCACAGTATTCCATCGAAACCAGGAGATTTTTGGAATTTCTACTGACATCAGTGCTGTTTGGGATCTTTGGGGTGAAACATTTGATTTGGCAAAGCCATCCCTCTTCACAGAAGTGATTGTATAATCACAGAACCATTTGGGTCAGGGGGGACCTTCAAACATCATCTAGTCCAACCCCCTTGCCATGGGCAGGGACATCTTGTACTAAATTGGGTTGCTCCAAGCCTCATCCAACCTGACCTTTAATGCTTCCAATGATGGGATAACCACAACTTCTCTGGGCAACCTGTGTCTCGTTTAAATCTTCTGTTGGAAGGTTTCTCAGGTCAATGCTGGAATCAAAACCCAAAGCAAAACCCCCAACAAGCAGGAGAGGAAGGACACCTCTCTTGATTTGGGTTAGAGACCCAAATCTGCAAGTCCTAGCTCATCAAGGCAAAGAGCCTGGTGACTGAGCCTCTATCTATTCTCAGACAGTTTCTGTTTGGATCTGGCTTTCTGTCAGGATCTCTGTCTTTGCTTTCTTCAATTATGTTTCTCTATTAACATTTTCCAGGGGTTATGCTTTTGTTCCACATCAAACAACACGGATGTCGCAGCATTCCTCAAAGGACACAGCTCCCATTTGCTGGCTGGCCCAAGTTATCATGGAAATTATTAGTTTCCTTAAGCGTTTATTGTACTCATCCAGAAATACAAGCTTGCCCCGTTTCGATCTGAAACACTATGCACGGAAAGGAGAAAACTCCACGTAGTACCACAAACATCACGCTTGCAAGAAGGTGGTATGTTAATTAATAAAGTCTGGGAGCCACTGGTTTAACATATTAATGAATTTGTTACGCAGAGAGAGATGGAAAGATATATTTCCTTATTAGATTTTTGAATGTCTGATACTTTTATTGTAATTAAGTTCTACTTTGTGTCTTTTTTACAAACACTCTAATAGTGTTTTTAATAGTATAATTGTGTTAGATAATTATGTCAGAAAAGGGAAGGAGAAATAAGGGGATATAGTCCAGACGAAAGTATTCAGAACTTGAAAGAGGAAGGACAGCCATACAGGTAGACCCTGGAGGAAAGATCCTTCTCTAACTGAGGACCTGTGGAGAGTGGGATCTGCTTAGAAGCGAAGGAGGGTATAAGACAGTGGGTCAGAAGAGCCAGGAGAAAAGAATCGTGTTTTTCCCACAGGGTTTTGAACATGAAGGCCCTGCTGAACTGGACTGGTAGGTGTGTGAATCAGAGAGATGCAGTGGGCTCTATTGGCTGCATGTCTTCACTAATGCAAGGAGGAGAGAAGCTGTCTTTTTTTGCAGACTGCAGTGAGAACAGTGGAGGTAATCTGGCTTGGGCTGATCCAGCCTTTTCAGTGCAGTGGGTTGAAGACCGTTTTTGAAGTGACAGAAATGTCATGTTGGACCTGCAAGCCTCTGAGCTGCTGCCAGCCCAACATGATGCTGCTCCAGGACCGGTGAGACCAGAGCCATCTCTTCTCCCAAAGGGGAGATGGCATTTCATGAAGCTAAGCACATTAAGAATCGTTTGCCCCCTCTGATATGGCCACTGATAGCCCTAACCAGCAGGGCTGGTTGAATCACCCCTTGGGCAGAAGCCAACCTGTGGGTTGTAAGTTGGACTACAGAGCTGCAGAGAGCACAGAAGTTGTTAGTCAAGGGAAATGAAATAAAGGGGAGGTGGGGATTGCAGTGCCTTCGGCAAATGGTCCCTTAACTGACGTGGGACAGACCTTTTGCATGGCTGTGCCCAGGGCCAGGCTGACAGCGCTTCAAACAAATCATAGAAAAAAAATATTTGGGGTTCCCAGAGCTGCATGGAGTACTTAAGCACTCACCACCTTACATTAAAGCTGACTGCTGGATTGCTTTTGCTGTATTTCACAGTATTAACCATCTGTGATTTTATATGAGAGGTACCTGTGGAAACCTGGCTGTGAACTTAAACTCCCATGTTGGAATATTGCCCAGCTGTTTTCTTCTGCACAGTCCCAGTGACTGGAGTAGAGAGATATTCTCTTTTAGAATTTTGCTCAGAAAACCTTCAGGGCAAAAAAAGGGGAGAGGTTTGCAATTCTTCATTACATTCTTCTGTACTTTTGCATTACTGTAGCACTTAAAAACCCTAAGTCTGTGCCAAGAAGAGACAAAGAATAGAAGACAGTAATTCCTGATGGAGTTTCTATGAGTCAGGAGAGCCTGGGGCTCTGACCTGAGGTCCAGTGTACAGCTGGAGCAGAAGCCTGGATTGGGGTAGTAACCACACTGGGACAGAGCAGTGGCTATTTCACAAAAGTTTCAAGAGGTTAAACTCTCCATGACTGCAAGTAGACGCAGGGATTCACCCCCAAAACTCACATAGTTGTTTTTCAACTGATTTAAGGATTCCCAGAAGACACTTTGTGGCTTTCATAAAGGTTTCCTGCAAAAGGCTAAGGAAAACAGCCTTATTCTTACCCATACCAAGGTCTTTTTATGGTCCTACCTACAGAGAAGTTATGTACTGTGCCCTTTATAACACACTTTGCTTTCCTACACCCATTTTGGCCACTGTAAAGAGAATACAGCCCAGAATAATTATTCTTTATTCTGACACATGCACGCATATAAAAAGTTTGGGATAAGAAAAGAAATTCCTTACAGATTCCTTCTGGATGCATCAAGAAAAATCAGGGGCCAGATTCTGCCCTTAATCCCTGCAGATGGATTCTAGAGTAGCTCCCTAAAATCCATAAAATTACACTGCACTTACAGTGTCAGATTAGAAGTTACAAAATCAAAACCAAACCCCATGAAGTCTAGTTTGCCAGTGCTCACAGCAAGCCAAAAGCCACTCTATAGTTACTTAGAAGTGGTTCTCTGTCCCACAAGAAAAAATAATGCAGTATTAAATCTGACCTTATAGCCCTGCGAAGTTAGATGCCAGTGCTTCCATCTCATTGAGAAGACAGTAAACTCTTCTTTCTAGTGGCACCGCACTATTATTTCCTGAATCATAAGATGCTGCTCCTTAAATTCATCGCTGGTTGAAGATTACTTACTGAATCCTAACTGCTGTGGGTCCGAGATAAGTTATACTAGGGGAGAACTTTATCTGTGGAGAATGAAAGAGAAGGCGTTTCCCAAACCTAGCATCTGTTGGCATCTACGGAGCGGTTTCATGCATTAGAGGTGGCCCCTTGGGAGAAGAACTAACAGTGTGCTTCTATTTTTGCACGAAATCAGGCTCGGCAGAGGGCATGATGATGCATGAATATCAGCGTGTTTCTGCTTTCTTCCTGTCATTTCCTCAGAGTTAGGGGGGAGATGGCTGCAGCAAGAGGGATTCAGGCAGCCCCTGTAAGGGCAGTGGGGGGGTCTTGCTTCATGCACTTTTCTACAGATGGGCAGCTGCCAGCCGGTAATGTAACTCACGCTGCTGCTGCTCCTTGCAGGGAGACAACTCTGTTTCCGATAGCTGCTTGGCTCGATTTGGCATTTTTTATTATAGCCCAACGTAGCGTGACAATGCAGCTGATTCACTGCACCATGGCTAGGGTAAGGACTGCAATCACACCGTCTCGGGGGACGCAGTGGGAGTTACGAGAGTGCGAACTCTGGCTCTACTCCCAGCCTGACTTTCGGGACTTGAAAGAGAGGGATGTGCTATGTTTTAAATATTCACGCAGACACCCTTAGCTCCAGCGCTTGAGCTTTCAGGTATTTTAGGTCAGAGCTAGTCTTCTAACCAGCCTGAAGCTATGCTGCACCATGCTGTAATCCTGACAATTTTTTCAACTAAATGTGCTTGAATCTAGTAATTTTCCTGATGGCTCACCTCCAAGAAAAATGGTGTCGATCATTTGGTAGGTTTCAGGGTTGGGTGTGAGTCAGCTCTGAGTCAGGCAGCAGCTCCAGCTCCACAAAGTGCTGGTCCCTCTGCACTGGCACGACCCATGGGCCCACAGCCCTGCAACGGCCACTGCTCCTGAGCCTCCCCAGCAGCACCCTGTGCGAACCCAGGTGCTTTGGGAACCCCCCAAAGCAAAGGGGCAAGTCCACAGCCCCACACTTTTGGCTGTTCACATGCTGCAAAGCCCTCTCAGCCTTGGAAGATGGCAGGGTGCGGAGATGATGCTGGCTCCAGGTAGGGAGAAGGAGATGGGGATGTGTCTTGCCCCTTGCAGAAAGGCCAATGTGAACAACTTGCCTCCTCAGAGCCAGGAAGAAGCAAGGAAGGAGTTTTGTCCAGAGACCTCTGTCTCCAGCACAGTGTTTCTATTCATATTCACATCTGTATTAAGTAGGGTGGTGCCCCAGTCCTCAGGCAGTCGAGAGCAAAGCCAGATGCAGTCTTGAAGGCAACAGTCACTGTGTCCATGGCACAAAGTGGTGCAGCTGATGGGTTCCTTGCTCTCTCTTTGTCTTTCTCTCCCCCTCTCCGGTGCTGTGATTGAAGCAACGCCCGGTGAAGCAATCCCTGAGCGCCTGCATGTGCCGAGAGTCCCACTGGAAATGCCTCCTCCTCTCCATCCTCATGTACGGCTGCCTGGGTGCAGTGGCCTGGTGTCAGCTGGCCCGGGTCACCAAGCTCAGCTTTGATAGCTCCTTCAAGGGCAAGTCCATGATCTACCATGACAGCCCGTGTTCAGATGGCTATGTCTATATCCCGCTGGCCTTCCTCTCTATGCTGTACGTGGTGTACCTGGTGGAGTGCTGGCACTGCCACGTCAAGAGAGAGCTACAGTACAAGGCAGATGTGGACAGTGTCTATGAATGCATCAACCGCATGCAGCAAGCCACTCCATGCATCTGGTGGAAGGCCATCAGCTACCACTTTGTGCGACGAACCCGGCAGGTGACCCGGTACCGCAATGGCGACGCCTACACCACCACACAAGTCTACCACGAGAGGGTCAACACCCACGTGGCTGAAGCTGAGTTTGACTACTCTCACTGTGGATACAAGGACATCTCCAAGGAACTTCTGGGTCTGGAGAGCTACACAGCCACCAAGCTGAGGTTCACCAAGTGCTTCAGCTTTGCCAATATTGAGTCTGAGAACTCTTACCTGACTCAGAGGGCTCACTTCTTCACGGAGATCGAGGGGCTGGATGACTACATGGAGGTGAGGGAAGGCATGCAGCTCAAAAATGTGGACTTTAAAGAGCTTATGATGGCCTACGGCGACCCGGATCACCTCCCATGGTATGTGTCCCACTATGCTTTCTGGGTGGCAGCTATCCTGATGATCTCGTGGCCACTCAGGGTGCTCATAGAGTATCGGACTGCTTATGTCCACTACCACGTGGAGAAGCTGCTGGGCCTGGAGTACACGGCGCCCATGGCCACAGAGGAGCCCTTGTACCGGTACCGCATGCCCCGAGACGCCACACAGGACAGCACCGAGCTGGAGTGGCACATCTGCACCAACCGGCAGCTGATCCCCAGCTACTCAGAGGCCATGCTCATGGACCTGGCCAACTCTCCGGCCTACAACAGCTACGCGGTGTGCCGGTACGGCGAAACGGCCCACGGCTGCGAGCGCTGCAACCGTGCCTCCAGCACCTCCTCCATCTTCTCCCGCCACGCTTTCCACAGCTGCAGCGGCAACTCCCGCCTCTCCCTCAACACCAGCCGCTTCTCCCTCTGCCGTGTCCATGGCTCCCACAGGACAGGCCTCTGGAGGAGCCGCAGCAGCAGCATCGCGGAGCGGGGCTGCCAGGACGAGCAGTGCTGCTCCTACTCCAGCCAGCTGGCCGTCAATGAAAACCCCCCCACCTACCACGACGCCCGCTTCTTCCCTGTCCTGATTGTGCACAGGCCGGAGGGGCACGAGGGGCGGCATTTCTACGTCAGGCGTTCCTCCTGCCTAGAAACCTCTCTGTGACAGGCCTCCATGGCTTCTCTGCCCCGGGACAGGGCTTGCGGAGGTGCTGCCGGTGGGGAGCCTGCCAGCGTCCGTCCCCACACCAGGTCAGCAGGACCACCTTCAGTGAGGACACAGTCACTCCGACCACGGCCAACCCTCATGGCCTGGAGCTTCTCCCCCTCCTTCGGCTGCTCTCCCTAGTCGTTTGTTCCCCTCTTCCTTTCGTCCTTTCGCTCTTCACCCTTTCCCTGCTCCTCTGTTTCCTGTCTCTCCTCCTATCCCACCCTCAGTCTGGTGGGTTTTTTTTTACGTTTCAGTCACAGCGTTTGACTGCTGTTGCCACCGGAGGATTTATAAAGCCTGTGTTTTGCAGTGTGTTTGCCCTTTCGGATGCCCTGCAAGATAAGGAACTCAGATAGAGCAAGGCGAAAGGCAGGCGGCCAGCCAGAGTCAAGTCAGAAGGAGAATTCAGATCTGCAGGCGCTGAGTCACCTCCTGCAAACCCGAAACAAGGTGCTTTTCTTATTTATTTTATTTTCACCAGTCTTTTTTTCCTCTTCTCTGTCACTTATTCTCTCCTTTCTTCATGTTTCCTCCTCTTGCTTTACCTTCATCTTCATTTTTTTTTTTTTCAGTTTTCTTACTTCTGCTTTCCAATTTTTTTCTGGGATTTTGCAGGTGAGGATGTCTTTCAGGGTGTAATTGCCTTCCGCTGGGCAAAAATAAGGTATTCACGGCACAAATGTCACTGACTGCTGACACAACCACAGGCTACGCCCCTGAGAAATGCTGAGGACTTTTTTTCCAGACTAGTGTCACGCACCAATAAAGCAAAAAGCCCTTTGCTCACCTTGTCCTGCCTGGTCTGCAGCACAGATGCTGCTGCATTTCCAGCTGTAGTTAACCTTGTCCAGCTCCACCCCTATTAGCAATCCTTGAGAGCTGTGATGTAGAGCAGTGCCCTGTTAGTGCCACTATTTTTAGGACTATAGGTCTGGTTTGTGGTTGTTTCATTCCTACCACTTGCTCAGAGCAGCACGGGATGGACAAGGGGAGAGGGGCTGGAGAGGGAAAGGTAAATATGGTATTAACCCTCCCACTGATAGTCTGGAGCTGTTAGGAAGCTCTTCCACCCACAGTGTCTGTTGGAGCAGTTGCAGATCTGCTCTCCATTACCCTCAGCTTTCCATGTGCCCTGGGGAGAGGTTTTGGCCCGTAGCCCACCACCACCTTCCCACCTTCCAGGCGGGATGTGGTGCCACCCCAGACCCAGGCAGGGAGCACAGCTTGGAGCCAGCCCCACCAGCTGCTCCTGCCAGTGCTCCAGGCTCTTCCTACAAGGCTTCCCGTAGAGCAGGTGCAGCACCTTCCAGAAAATATCAGATTAGTCCCAGTAATGCCAAACTCAGAAGGTGTGTCGTCCTGGCAGAGCAGACTGCTGCACTCTGGGGAGTGGGCTGCCCTCCTGTCCCAACCAGGGACCCCCCTGAGAGCCAGAAGCTTATGGCCACACTGAGGACCCACCAGGGACCTCAGACCTGCCAAACCTCCATCCCATGAGTGACGGTCATATGGTGAGCAAGCTGCATACCCTTTTGTTGTATGGATGGCGGAGATTGTTCTCCACCGTGACTCACAGGAGAATGCAATACAATCGCAATACAGCCACTTTCAAAAACAAAGTGTTGTCACTCCCTACAGCAAGTAGGTAAGAAACCAAGCCCCCAGAGGGGCTGGCAACAAATGCTTCCTCCCAAGTCCGTTCTGTGTGTATCTACATGTAATACGAGGTTTGTAAAGTCATATTAGTATGTGTAGATTATATATAACTCTGCATACTTATATGGTGATTTCTTATGGCATTGACTGTTGCACCATGTTAAATACATTTTGTTTTGGTTTGATGACTCCGTTTTGATGTGCTGTCTTTATTTCAACTCCAGAAATAGAAACATTGGCAATACATGGCTACCCTGCTGAAAATGATGGCACCATCAGAAAGGTTGTTTAAATTAGCATGAGTCGATTTTTTTTTTAATGTAAATACTTTATGTACAGTTTATGTGACATTTTCATTCTGACAGCTTGGCATTTATCGCAAAAGATAGATAACACGTATGATGTGTTAGTTTATCACCTCTAAAAAAGAATAACCATCCCAGACACATGGAGGAAACAGGTTTGGGCTTGGGGTAATGATTATGTTTGGGCTGGGGCCAAACTTGATAACATTGAAACTTAGAGAAAAATCCAAACATAGATCCACCCTACAGTGACCCAGTCCTAGCCGCCCATCTACACCGTGCCACCTACCACCCCCAGGCAGAGCTGGGAGAGTTTGGAAACTAAGGAAAGGATCAGGCCTGAACTCAAAGCTCTGAATCATTACTGATTTACTTGTATTCTGCAGATGAAATAAATGCAAGTCTTTAATATGGTTCCCTGTCCTTATCTTCATTCACACAGAAACTTAAAACCAGCACATATGGAAGATGTAAGAGCTGGAGGAGGTGGAAACATCACGAAACAGAGAGGCTGGAATATTTCAACACAGTTTCTTACTGAAGGAGGTGGTAGGGAGGAAGACAAGAAAGGAGAAAGGAAGGGATAGTAGAATAATATAAATTAAAAGAAAACAGAGTTCAGCTGCTGCTAAGATAATTCCCAAATGAGCAGCATAACTCAGTTATGGCAAGCTTAGCCCAGACACAGGCAGGATGAGTTTCAGTCTTCTTGCATTGCTGCTGCAGCCACCTGTGGCTTTAAATGCCGTGTCCAAGGTCTTGGCATGGCCAGTTTGGTCCCATATGTATTTCAAGATGGAGAGTTATATTTGGGTCCTCAGAAGTGGCCACGTTAAACAGTATTATTATCTGAGATGAACAAACTCTGGCAATCCCATTATTATGATGGGTTGGGCAGAGAACGGAGGCAGTTTATGCTCAGCTTAACCTTTTCAGTGTCCTCAAAAGCCACTGTAATATCCAGCAGATCTCCAGCTGTGTCCTTGGCAAGGTTTGGACAGCCCAGAGGGTTTCTTCTTCCTCACTCTTTGTGCTCTGGCTCAACTTCGGGGCATTTATTTGAGAAACCATCCCTAAGCTGCAAAAGCTCTCACACACATGGAGCTCCTTCCTGTCACTTGCTGTAGCCTCTGGTGGTGACTGAAAAGCTGGGAGCAGCTCCTTTTCTGGCCTGGAGCTGAATACGCTGATTTCAACACATCACCCACTCAGGAAGCACCTGAGCAGCCATCCTGGGTCTCCTACACCAGAGAGCAGAGCTGCTCCTGCGACCCTTGAATGCCACTTCATCGTCACTCCTGCCATTGCCGCAGGTTCCTGACGCAGGATGAGGGATCTGTCCCTTAGCAATGCAAGGAACGGTGCTGCTCTTCAAATCCAAAGTCAGAGGATGGAGCAGACAGGTTCTCAAATCCGAGCGCAAACCAGGCAGCTCTATGGAAAACATTTTGTACAAAACACAGGGATTTTGTATCCAATTGCAGATTTTGACAATAGAGCTGTGGCATGCACCAGCAGCTTTTAGGCTGAACTTTTAGGCCCACGGCTTCTCATGCGAAAATGAGTGTTTCAGGGTGCTTTCTCACTGGGATAACCCATCCTTGCCCTGTTGGGTCTCAATAATTAGAAGAGGCTGGAGAGCAGAGGAAGGTGAGGAAGTCCAGCAATTAATTCTCTCCCTCCTGCCTTCTCTCTCCCCCTCCTCCCTCCCTCTCTTCTTTTCTTCCTTTTTCCGTCTTTTCCTTCTCCCTCATCTTCCCAGCACTGGGAATTCACCTCTTGATTATTATGCAGCTCTTCAGGCATTTTCTAGAACATGCCTACACCACCCAGCAAGTCCAGTGAGATGTGACAACACACTATCACAACAGAAGTAAGGAAAGGACGTGAGCCAGGAAGGCACCAGCTTATTTATAAGCCGGTGTGCCATATCCTGTGCATGTGAGCAGTGAGCACTGTCACTGGTGTTACTGCCTGCAGAACAATGCCACGTTGCTTAATTCAGTGGCATGAATGGCCGGGAGAGTTTATTTGTCTTCAGTTCCCAAAAGCATTTCAGAATCACCAGTTCCTTTGATTCCTGCATGGTAATATTGCACTCCTCCGTGAGTTTTCCCACAGCAGTTTGCACTCCAACTGGCAATGCGTGCACGATTTCAGTCCAATTTTCATATGGCTCTTCCTGCCTATCACTGTTGACAGAAAGCCCTTCTTGGAAGAGCTGAAGCCAGATTCCCTGCTGGGGAAAATTCCCTTTGGTCTTCTGCTTCCAGCAGAGCTTTGCTCTCAGAGTCTGGCCTCTACAACAGAGTCTCAAAGTCTGTGCTGTGCTACAACAACTTCTGATCCTGTACTCCTCTTTGCAGATGAAAGCTCCTTTCCCCTCCTTCTTCCCCTTCCCAAAGCCTTTCGAGAGCATCGTGTATGACATTTGGAGGAAGCACCAATACGCCTGTCGAGGTAGAGGCATGGTCTGTGAATGCAGCTTGGAGTCAAGCCTCTCTTGGCCACTGCCTCCCCGGACGGGCTTGGCCAAGCCACACCACTTGCTGGTGCCTCCTCTCTCCTGCTTGGACACTGGAGCTTTTCCTGAGCCCATAGGGTCAGGATAGCAGTGCAAGCCTCTGTAATTGTAAGGTTGGAAGAAATCCTTAGAAGGAAAACGCTGTAGAAACACAGCTCTACTCTAATGGCCATTTTTATTTTTTTTTTCTTTCTCATGAGACAACTAAAATCTGCAGAAGTAGCTACTTTCTGGAAGGCGCTACCGCCATGAGTAAGTGCAGAAACATGCCACGCGCTGGGAGGGATGGGTATATATGGATACATGGGGGAGAGAGAGCAGCGACAGCAAGTGCACGTCAAGCTTTTTTGCAAACACCGGCGCAGAAACTCTCAGCCCCGGAGTCGTCATCGCGATCCCAGCGAGAGGCATGTCACGATTTCCCCGTCCCCGAGAGCACCCAGGCTTCCTGCAAGCCCTCGGCTGATGGTGTCTCCTCCCAGCCACCTCGTTGTGGAGAGAGGCACTGGGGAGGGAGTGACATTTCCATTCCAGTCATTAATTCTCCTTGGCATTGCTCCAGTCCCCGAGGAATTCCTATCAGAAATGCAAATGGCTTGGGGAGGGGGGGAAGATCAGAGCTCGGGAGGGAATTAGGTGAGCTTTTCGTGCCTCGGTTTCTCCATCCCACAAAGTGGGGATAACACTGTCTCCCTGCTCTCCTCCTGCTCCTGCTGGAGCCGCTGGGCAAGTGTTGCACACCCGTGGGGCTGTGGCAGAGCCGAATGCTGCCTCGTGTCGTAGTGATTTGGCTCCTTAGGGTGCCTTCCAACCCAGATTCTCACCGTTAACTCCTATGAAAGGGCAGCACCAGGCTTTTTTTTAAAAAAAAATGGTGTGCCGGTGACTCTTTCCACCCCACGCTGCCAACTCTGTGGCAGCAGAGATCTCCTTCCTCAGACCTCTCCCTGCTTTTCCACCAAGGGGAAGGGAAAAGAGGGCAAGGCCGAGCTGATCCTGCTTGAAGGGCATGGGCACATCTCCTCCCGTTGCCGGTGCTCCTCTACAGACGGGGCACCGGTGCATGAGGTTGTCTGGCACCCCAGGAGCTGGAGTTTGGCAAGGGGAGCGCGGCCGAGGCAAGGAACCGGAGAGGTCTGGCCAGGGAAAATGATGGGGATGGGGGTGCTGCTCAACTCAGTCCCGGCAGAGCCTTGGTTTGGGGGGTGCTGAGCCCCGGTGGTGGGTTGGAGGGTCTCCTGAGGGGCCAGGCTGCCCTCCTGCCTCCATATGTAGGTAAGGGAATAAGCGACCTGCTTTCCCCCTCCCTGCCCGGTGCCCCGATGTGGGTCACCCGCCGCCGGCGCTCTGGAAACCAGGCCGCCCCGTGGAGCAACCCCCGACGGATTTGGGGGTGGGGGGAGAGAGCCGCCCCTCCCCGGCCCGACCCGTCCCGGCTCGGCCCGCCCTCCGGAGGGGTCCGACCCCCGCGGGGCGGGGAGGTGCGGGCGGCCCCGGTGCCGTAGCGGGGCGGCGGAGCGAGGGGAGGGGGGCGGTGGAGCGAGGGGAG